TCATTTTTTTGTCAAACATTACGTCATTACTTTCAGTCGCTGGATTCAAGATGGCCGCTTACTTGGGAGCGTATTTGGAAATAATTTCATCGATTTTGTGCATATTTTCTTCATTTTTTCGATGAAACTTAATAGTTTTCCCATCAGCCAGACTTTATAAACCGAAAGTTATCTTATATGAGTAAACTTGGAAGGCTGGAAGCCTGAAATAGACGACAAAAGTTCACAATTTTCACAAAGTTGGAACTTCGTAAATTGCAACAATAATATTCGCAAGTTGCTGTTTATTTGGATGTAAATAGAATCTGCTTAATGGGACAAGGGTTTAATAGAGCTCCTTGCCTTGCTGGCTAATGATATTTTAAAAGCTCTCAGGACAGCTGTTATCTCACAATAGGTATTGTACAATTCAAACACACAGAACATATTAATTTGTATAATAGATAAATTTGGAAAAGTTAGTTACATTGTTGCTATGCAATTCACAACTTTAAATATTCATGCCTAGTTAGTGTTCTACAGTAGTTCACACATAGAATAGAACAGAGGTAACTAAGCATTTGATAAGCCCTATACACTATAAAAGTCATTCATTCATTCATGTAGCTAGATAATTCTAAAGCTTAGTTATCTTTGCTGTACTCTATGCTTCAGTACACTAGAGTTGAATTCGGTTAAAATTTCATGTAAGTGCAAATAACCTTAACAAATACACATTAAATCATACACAAAACTGAATGCTGTCCTTTTATAAATTTAGTTATTTCATAAGTAGGATGTAAAGCGAATTCAACTTTTACGTGCGTGTACGCACATATGAAAAACGCGTAACTGGAATGCAGCCTTAAGGCATGTGACTTATGTAAAGTTGTGAATTGGATATAACCAAACTTAGACACATTTGTTTATCGTCTATAGTCCGGGGACTTGTTTGATGAACTTTGTTTTAATTTTTCCTTGAATCCCATTTTTGACAAAAGCAATTTTATTATATGAACACATAAACTTAACAAACAAATAGCAGTCTTAATCTCAATCGCATGCAGCGTAATATGCAATAGCCCCAGCGACTAACGCTCAATAGAGCGTCTTGTTTCTTAAAAAATGCCCTGGAATTTCGGCAATTTTGCCTTCGTCATTGAAAACAATGAAATGGATGTACCTGAAAAGGTATTCGATAGAGCAGGTTTTAAATGCATAAAATGAAATTCTTTGCCATGTGTTGATTGTTGTACACATCTACATTACACATATTTCACACTTTCATGTTTTTTTTATTAAAAACTCTTTGTTTTATGTCTCAATCAATTCCATGGGTGCCCATCCCCCCCCCCCCGGCATTTGTCGGGCATTTGCAACTGTAGTTGTTCCTGAGGGTCGGGCATTTGCTTTCTGCAAGTTAGCCCCGGGGTGGGTAATTTGCTCAGGGCTAAAAAGTCAAATATTTGTGGCTTGTTTCGCCAACGCATGCACGTTTACATGTCCGTACGTATTGAAAATTAATCATGACGGATATACACAAACATACACACTTTAGACTTTTTTCTTGTCCATACTGACAGTTGATTCATTTGACTTACTTCCGCAGTTTGATATTGTTATATCAAGTTTTGAGACTTCAATATTTTAATTAAAAACTTTTTGAAACGAAATGGCTACAGAATCGATTTTAAGAACAGATATATTGATACGAGATAGAGCCTGCATTCGATTTTTTGGTTCAAAAAATCCTCAGAAAACTTGTATTTTGTCCCCATGGGTGAGGCATTTGCGTCAATGCAAGTCCTCAAGGATGGGGATTTTGTTGCATTATTTGGACCCCATGGTGGGGCATTAGCAACATTTTTTGCCAAAATGACAAATGCTCAGGGGGGGGGCACCCATGGAATTGATTGAGACATTATATCACAACGTGACAATTGACAACAATTCTTCGAACGATATCAACGTTTGACATGTCTTTTGCCAAGAAGACAAAATATTAAATTATTAAATGAGTTTTCATCACGGAAAAACATTTTTAACGGCACTGACCAAGTCCCCCCTTAGCGTCCAATTTGCTATTAAGCGTGTCGACGGCCTCCAAGACTACTGTATGTATGCCGTGACTATAATCTTGAACGAACAAACCGTATAAAACGCATCAAATAAAACACATACGACCATCATACACTTTTTGCTATTACTTTATATTCTTGAATCGTTCTCGGCTCGATACTGAACTTTATACTAGCTCGATGAAGTAATGTACCAAGTCGAATAACAGGATATGTTATAGTTATAGTTTGATAGTTTATTTGACACTAAACTTACAGCTCCAGAATATATCTAATTCCACTGCTGAAATATGTTAGGTTTACAAAGATATTAAGAAAGATAAACTAATTTTTACAAGTATTTTGTTTAAGAAAATGAATAAGATTAGACTAAAATTCTTGAAAATACACATTCACATACACATATGTGCAGACTTATAATTTGTTACTAAAACACTCTCTAGTGCTATAATTTAAATTAGGTTAAAAAACCCAGCATATTCACGGTAAAAACAGTTTCTAAGTTATTCAGAAAACTTATTAGAGTTATAAGTGATAAAACTGTTCCTAAATCTGTTCGTTTTATGAAGTGGCACGTTAAATTTCCTATTTTTAATTTTACGCAAAAAGTGGCTATTGTCATTATTTAATGGCGGTAACAAATCCGTCAATTTGAGCTCAGGGTTATTGACTATGTCTTTAAAACGTTTTGTTGGTAATTCCTGTCTTCTATCGTAAAGTGATGGTGTGTTCGTGTTCCTCAATGCTTCTTTGTAGTGTTGTACTGGGAATATTATTCGAAAAGCTCGTTTCTGAAGTCTTTCAAGATCATCAGACAGATATTTGGGTAATGAGTCGTGAAATGCTTGGCACGCATACTCGATGACTGGTCGAATACAGGTGGAGTAGAAAAGGATTAGGTCGTTAGTTGGTAATTTCGCTCGTTTTAATTGTCTTAAAAAATATAGACGAGGTGCGACCTTTTTACAAATGTGTGAAATATGACTATTCCGCTTCAGGTTATTTGAGATGGCTAGACCCAGCAATTTTACCGATGTTACACGTTCGACAATTTTCCCATTAATAGTAATTGGCTGGAACTCATGTGTGGATGGTGCAAAACTTTGATTCGTTTATCTGAAAGCCATCGGCTATTGATTTCTGGTTAAATTCATCTACGTACTTTTGTAAGTTACTTGAGCCATCTCTACAAACTGATTCCGACAAGGATGAGTCGTCAACATATTTCCATAAATCAGTAACGTCCTTAACACTTAGATCATTTATTATTAGCATGACAAAATTACTGGATGCTGATTGGTTGAGTGGAGTACAATTATTTCATTAATTGTACTGCAGTGCAATTAATGATTTTCGCACAACAAACAAAATGGCGGAAAGGTATTTTAAACACAAGCGTGAAATGAAATTGCCCTGGAGGAACTAGATGAAAATACGAACAAAGCACCAAACTTTGCTTTAACAAAAGAACTATATGAAAATACGGACAAAAGCACCAAATTTTGGTTGAAAATCTGGCAGGACTGGGCTTTGGCGAGAGAATTATGATGTTAACATTGAGAAGTATCCAATTTTGTCATGCTAATAAATTAATAATAAACAAGTAATCATGCAATGTTGCTCGTACAAGTATGGATTAATACTACTCGTGATGTTTGGAAATTTTGTACTCGCCATCGTATGATTACCTATACTAATCATAATACAAAATAACCATGGGCCGAGCTTTGTGCCTTGAGGGACTCCGGCTGGGACCTTGCCCCATTCGGAATGGCAATCTTGGCTGAGTTTTACCCTCTGTTCTCGGTCAGTCAGAAATTCTAAGATCCAAAGCATGACAGACCTCGGTATGTTATACTTTGTTAACTTCTCCGATAAAATATTATGGTCTACTAGAAAATACATGCATGCATGCAGAAACCCTCGCCTTGCTGACAAAACCGTTGTATTTTCCGAACATGAAGTATCTAAAGTAGTTGTCATGGTAACACGATAATTTTTTAAGACTATTCTTACAAATGAAAATCGCCTAAAAATATCACTTTTAATTACAAAATTATCAATTTCCCAACATATATATGTTAGGTATGTAATTATACGTAATACAAGCTTCAATTTAAGGTAAAATTCAACCACAAACAATTCACAAAACGTTTTAAAGTGTCCTTTATAAAACTAAACTGCCTTTAACTATTAAATGGCTTTATTGATAAACTTTGAGTTTGCAATAAAATGATTTCAAATTCTCGCTTGCAAATAACTTTGCTTTACTTTTTATTTAAAAAAAATCAATATAATAAACTAGGGATCCAAGGATAGTGTAAAGTTTCAAATTGAATAAGATCGGGAAGAACTGCGTAAGGTCTAGCGGGTTAATAGGTTTGCTCAACAATTAGGCCAAACAACGTCACATTAGGCCTTTGTTTTTTTTTGTCTTAGCGTGTTTTTGTTTTTTTTGTTTTATTTGTTTTCAATAACAGCACTAATACGATTTGGCCTAATTCTTCATGTAACATACCAACCCTGCACGTTACTAAAAAAATGTGGATTAGAACAAGGTTTTTACGAGAGAAACAATTCATTGTCACTTCCTTCGCCGTGCCTCGTGGAACTGGTACAATTTATTTATTTATTGTGATGCTACACGAGACAACTCGAAATTTAAATTCTTTCACCAACAACCAAATTTTGTATATTCTAAAACTACAATTGCATTGGGAGCTGTCGCTGAAAGTATCCCCATGAGGCTACTGATATACTAAACTTATTTAAAACTATCAGCGCCTATATTGCACATTTAACTATTGTCTCAGTGACACAATTGAAATAGCTGTATAACTACAGTGTGTCCCAAAAAAGTACCCTCTATAGAAAGTATCTATCCTATTGTTATAAGGGTACTTTTTTGGGGACACACTGTAGTTAATATGACGTTGCATCCCATTACAAAAAACATAAATCCAAAACACAGACACATAAAAATGAGGCGAAAAATTTCATTTAAATGACGCATTTTATCCCCATATCCGTTCCGCACCCGCTCCATGGATCCGCTAGGTTCCGCATCCGCTTCCGCATTTTAACTTAATTGTGACATGTTTCTCAATAACAAGTCTCAATGACCTTTGACTTTATATTCCCAAGGCCAAGATCAGGTTGTTTTTTTTTATATGAGTCATTTTCAGCTTTTCGCAAGTATTCAATAATGTCACTTTAGATGTCAATAATTTCACAGTTACAGCAGAGTTTATAGCAGTTTTGATAAAGCTTTGATACAGATAGATTCTCGTAAGATCTGGTGATGTTCTCGTTGCATTTGAATATTGCATTGTGCCATTGAACACCAGTTTGCACCGTTGTGCCGGACATGTGAACAAGGCCCGTGACTGTACACGTTCGATAGCAAACGCCATACTAAACGCCATACAATGATATACAAACACCACTTCTGTTTGATAGTTATTTATGCTCTACTGATCTGATGCAATGTTTTGCTCTTCGTACTGAGTGACCTATTCTGTGGTGTAGCAGTGTTACACCTTTACATTCGATGTATAATG